ATAGAAAACCCAACCATTTACTTTCAACAACTCATTTTTCATTTATTTCGCTTTCCTTATTTTTATATTTCGTTCACACAGCTTCTTAAAGGGGCATCATCTTCCCTAATAATAATAATCCTTGCATTTGATGTAGCACCTATCATGTCTTCGAGATGTCTCAAAGCAGTGTCCCAGAAACAGTCATGGATTGAGTGATCAAGTTGGGACCTCCTCAAAATCTACCGCTCCACTCTAGCCTCGGCCAAGTCGTTCTTCTACTCAAGGATAATCCCAGGCTACTGTTTTCTACCACATCCCGACTCCTCCGTCCCCCCCGCCACCTCACGCAGGTCATCTCCTCCAACCTTCACTGCGAGGAGATGCTGGATTTCCTTGAATCCCAAATCAAGGGAATTCGCTCCGCGGTCACTTCCCCTCCAACATCCACCCACCCCCACCCCTCCCTCCCACACTCCGTCTCCTACCCATCCTTCCCTACACACTTTCCTACCCGTTTCCCCACCCTCTGTCACCAAACTCATCCTATCCCTGAAACCCACCACCTGCTCCCTTGACCCCATCCCTACTCCACTCCTTATTCCCAGCTCCACCTCCTTGCCCCACATATCACAGACATCGTCAACCTGTCCCTCTCCTCTGGCTCTGTTCCCACTCCCTTAAAAACTGCCACCATCACTCCCACCTTGAAAAAACCCTTCCTTGATGCGTCGCAGCTATCAAGCTACCGGCCCATCTCCAACCTCCCCTTCCTGTCCAAGGTCCTGGAATGAGTTGTCGCCTCCAGCTGCGCTCTTTCCTCTCCACCCATTCATTATTCAAACCCCTTCAGTCGGGTTTCCGTGCTGCCCATAGCACAGACACTGCCCTGGTCAAGGTCACCAATGAGATCCTGACCATCTGTGACTAGGGCTCCCTCTGCCTCCTCGTCCTCCTCGACCTATCGGCAGCATTCGATACGGTCAACCATGCTATCCTCCTCCACCGCTTGTCCTCCCACCTCAACCTTCAAGGCCCTGTCCTTGAGTGGTTTACGTCGTACCTCTCCCACCGTCTTCACTTTGTTTCCACGAATGGCTTTTTCTCCACCCCCCGCACAGTCTCGTGCGGTGTCCCTCAGGGCTCTGTCCTCGGTCCCCTCCCTTTCACCCTCTATATTCTCCCCTTTGGTGACATCATCCGCAGACATGGGGTTAACTTCCACATGTATGCGGATGACACCCAACTCTATCTTTCCTCCTCTACCCTCAACTCCACGACCACCGATGTCCTGACAGCTGCCTGTCCGACATCGAGTCCTGGACGAGAGACAACTTTCTTCAGCTCAACGTGCGTAACACTGAGGCCCTCCTGATTGGCTTGCGTCAGCGCCTCCGCACCTCAGGCGCTGACAGCATCAGCATCCAAGGCTGCACTCTCCACCTCTCAAAGCCGGTCAGGAACCTCGGGGTTCTGTTCGACCCTGAGCTGTCCTTTCTCCCTCATATCCGCACCACAACTGGCACCGCTTTCCATCACCTCCGGAATATCGCCAGACTACGGCACTACCTCACCCCTCACGCTGCTGAAACTCTGGTCCTCGCCTTTATCACCTCAAGGCTGGACTATGGGAACTCTCTCCTCGCCGGCCTTCCCTGCACCTCCCTCCACACTGCAGGTCATTCAGAACTCTGCAGCTCGTGTACTGTCCCACACCAGGCTTCGGGAACACATCACTCCCACCCTCGCCCTCGCTCGCCTCCACTGGCTCCCCATCCCCCAGAGGATCGAATTCAAGATCCTCATCCTCACCTACAAGGCCATTCACGGCCTTGCTCCCTCCTACCTCTCTGACCTATTATCCCCCTACCTACCTGCCCGTACCCTCCGTTTCTCTGGATCCGTTCTGCTCCACATCCCCTGCCCCAACCACCCTACCATCGGTGACCGGGCCTTCAGCCTCTCAGCCCCGAGGCTCTGGAACTCCATCCCCCAGTGCCTTTGCCTTGCCTCCCCCTTTCCTCCTTCAAGGCCAGTCTCAAGACCTTTCTCTTTGACCTTCAGCCTTCAGCTCCCCTCTCGACTCTCTACCCCCTCCTCGCTCCCTCCCTTCCCTCCCCTCACCCTGACCATTTCCTCCCTGCTCGGGTCCTGACCCAACTGTACAGCACCTTGGGACGTCCTCCCGACGTGAAAGGTGCTCAATAAATGGAATCTTGTTGTTGTTATTATTTTTTTAATTTAAATTTATTTTTAAGGGATTATTACCCCTGGAAAAGCGATCCGCCAATTAAGTAACAACCGGGTTCCAACTTACTGCTTGGTAAACAAAGGCTTGTGGCATAAGGAAACTTGCCTAATGTTTCACCCTGCCAGGAATCAAACCTAGGTCCTTTCAATTGTGAGGCGAGTGCTCTAAAAACTGAGCTACAGGACTCCACAACGTAAGAGAGAGTGGATACAGCAACAAATCAGTTTCTATAGCTGAGGTGAACTGTGCATTTTATTATCGATTCAGTTGGCCAGTTGGCTCTTTGCTCAGTGACAACCTGTGATCTATTTGTTTTCGATCTTTACATCAGAAAAGCTTTCAGAGTCCTCACTCACCGCACCTCATGAGAGAAAGCAAAAGAAAAGTTGGAAGTTACAGATATAATGATTCAGAACCCAAAGTATACAAAATACTGCACATTATACAACAGTGGATTGAGAACCTACATTACAATTGTTTATTCATTGTAAAAACCGCTGACCAAAATATAAGGGGATATTGTACTCTTAAGGAAACCCATTACAGAAACCCATCTTAAATCAGCCGGTCAGAGACTTGTTAGAAAATAGCACACCCTCAGTTTCCAAGGTGACGCCATGAGAGACCTGATGCACTATTTAGTTGGGTTACAAGAAGCCACGCTAAACGTAGCCTATTTTGAAATATTCCTGCGAGCTTTGAACCCATCAACAAGTCATATAATCACTGTGAACAATTGGCTGTTGGGTTTTCTCCACAAAATATACAGTCAATTCACTTTACAGTGTATCCTGTGAAGCGCTTTGAGACACCTCAATGATGTGACAAGGCGCTGTATCAAATGGAAGGATTATATTTTTATGAGCTTTGTGATGTAGAGGAGTGATATGTGGTCAGGTTGATGGAGATGATGGAGCAGTATTGGAGCTGTGTTTGTGGTACAATAGAAACCACAATAGCCCACAAAGGCAGTTGTGCTGCCTCTAACAGCTGGTTTCCGAGCACCAGCTGTGGGTTATCTTCTTGGCCTGAGAGTGTAGTAGCAACTGGCAAAGATGCTGATAAAATTATGGGAGTGGGGGGGGTGAAGGGAGGGAAAGACAGAAGGGAATCAAAATAAATACAAATGGAGTAACATTCAGTTGGGCATGGCATTGCAAGTTATAAATAAACCAGCCAGAAAAAGATGACTTGTTTTAGCCATCCATAGGTTATTAGCCAGCTGTGTTGTAAATATCAGAAATAATCTATCAAGCGAGGCAATAAAGACAAAGATAATGGGGTTATTGAATGTAAAATAAGATCCATCTGCTGAGGTAATGTACTAGAGGATGAACACTGGTGCACCGATATCTGTTCTCATTTTCTCACTATCTGACAGTAACTATCTGACAGTAAAGAGCAGTTTGCACCCATTGTGTAGCATTCCCTCATCAGGGTTCAATGAACTATTCCCCTTTTTCCCCCAAATCTAAATGATTGGGTAATAATATTACAGAGGAAGTGTATTTGAGAGTATAATAATAATAATCGTTGCATTTATTATAGCACCTAATCATGTCTGAAAGCGCTTCACAGAATATACTGTAAAGTGGATTTACTGTGTATTTTGTGAGTGAAACGTGGTAGCCAATTGCAAACAGAGTGTCCCACAAACAGTCGTGGGGAAAAACCTGGCAATTGGCATGAAGATGGATGGCTTCTTGGAGGAGCTAATTCAGACATGGCCTCCTGCTGTGTTGTGAGTTTTTATGGTTCTAATTCCACAGGCGGGTGGGTCGGTAACCCGAGGACACCAATTTAAAATAGTTGTTAAAAGAAACAGAGGGGAGGTGAGGAGAAATGTTTTCACACAGCGAGTTGTTGGGATCTGGAATGCATTGCCTGAAAGGCTGGTGGAGGCCGATTCAATGACAACTTTTAAGAGAGAAGTAGATAATTATTTGGGTTTGAAGGGCTATAGGGAGAGAGCGGGGGAGTGGGGTTGATCAGGGCTATGGGGAGAGAGTGGGGGCGTGGGATTGAATTGGAAGCTCTTTTCAAAGAGCCAGCGCAGACACGATGGGCCGAATGGCCTCCTTCTGTACTGCATCATTCTATGATTCTATGAATTGAATTGGTTGATGCATACCCTTGCAAAGCTCCACAACTATCCAGTGCTGCATTTTACTGAACACGAATACGGTGTCAGCCTAGACTGTAAGTTCAAAGCCCTGACTTGCAACATTCTGACACCAAGGCACAGTACACAGTGATTACCCTTTACATAAAGTCCTGTGAAGCGCTTGGAGATGTCTTCCCAACATAAGGTGCTGTATCAAATGCAAGGATTATTATAAAGTATTATTCAAGTTACTGATGGGGCACCCTTTTGCCTTAATAAAGTTGATATCAATGTGGGATAATAGTCTAAAGAATTAATTAATGTAACCCAAAAAGTAGTTCATTCCTTCAATGCCAATCTGATTTTAAATCAATTGGCATTGATGCTAACTAATTAATGCCTCCCTCCCTCCTCCCACTCCCTCTTCAACCCCTCCCACCTACTCCCCCTCCCCACCACCATCTGAACCTTGAGGAGGATGGTTTGTGGTCAGTGATTGAAAGGGAGAAGTGCTTAATTGTCCACAAATACTATTGGGTGAATTATCACTGTCTCACAAGGTTATCACCACTCTAACCCTCCACAGAGGCCCACTGGCATTGCAATGAATTTTCAACCGATTATAAATCACGCTGAGGAGTATATGTGTGTGTGTCCTCTCTGCCTCTCATCATTCTGCTAATTATTGGATGAATACAGATTTTTAAAAATTAGTCTTTTTTTGAATATTTCAAATAGAACCATATGATCGTTGCTGCAGAATTACACTGGTGTCTGAGCCATTTGTTTCACATACTTTATTTATAGAATGGCCAGTGCACAGAAACAGAGGAAACTTTCATGATATTTTAACAATGAACCGCTAATTGCGGTATAATTGGCTCAGTGAGAGGGGAAATTTTTAGGGCATCATTTGCTTAGCAACAGTGAATGTCCTATTTTCATCTGATTGGCATATCCACCATGTACTGACTTCATTTGCCCCGGATCAGCTCATTAGTTATTTACATTTATACATTTTCTCTCTCCGTTTCTTCCATTTCCCGCGGCTCTATCTAGCATTCTTCTCCACCCCCCGCCCCCCATCCCACGCACCCCACTTCCCTCCCACAAGTATTGGGGCAGATCACTACACAGATATCACCTGCCCAGGCCACTCGCTTGGGGTGAGATTGCAACAGTCGGCTTCAGCAGCCATCTATCTCTGCCACCTTTCCCTGTATCAGGTGCTGTGCCTTGTGGTGGGTCTGTCAGTACCCTTCGCTACATAAACTGCTCTTGAATGCTGGTTGGCTCTGGGGGTGTGAACCTCCCAGTCAGTGCAAGGATGTGTAGCAAATATCTCCAATCTCCTTGGTACAGGCAACAGAAACATTCCATATCCAAATGGCCATACAATGAATAATACACACACGTTACTCAGTTAATAGGGTAATAACATTAGATAGTCAAACATATGAAGAACTGTCTTTCCAAAATCTTCCAGGCAAGTGTGCTGGAGTTTGACACTATACATGTCCTGGTTTTGATAAGTAAGCAATGAGAGCCACAATCACTCCCACATACACTCCTGTTCCGATGGTGATGGAAAGTGCAGCTAGGAACAGAGCTCTCCTTGAGGCTGAACTTGCTCGTGGATAGTCTCCCTTGGCAATCGCTTTGCTCGTCTGTAAAAGAAGGAATAATATTTGTTCCATGATTGTAATATATGCAGATGGGACCTCGCTTTTAACGTCTCAGCTGACGGATGCCACCTCCAATTATGCAGCAGTGAATTGAAGTGTCAGCACAAACTGTATGAGACCAAGGTCCTAAAGTGGGGCTTGAACCCATAACTTTCTGACTCACAGGCGAGAGTGATACCAGCTGAGCCAGGCTGCCACACAATGGTCAGAGCTCGGTTCTAACATTCTAGAGTTTTATTCCACAGTCGGCAAAGAAACATAAACCTTAAATCAAGGTATTTGAAATGGTTAAGAATACAAACACTTACAAGCAGTTCTGAAATTCAGCCTCAATTTACCGATGTATCTGTGAAGATATTTTATTCATTAACAGAACTGACCCAAGCTTTTCAGAGAATATAGATTAAATTCCCAGCAATTCCATTCTTTGCTAAGATTGACAACAGCACCTCTCACCTGCCTGTTACTCAACTGATTTTTGAATGAGTTGTTCCAGCAATTTGCTAAATGCTAATTTTTCAAACTATTCTATATTCATCCACAAAACACATAGTCACTCCACTTTACAGTATATTCTGTAAAGCGCTTTGAGACATCTCAATGACGTGATATGGCGCAATATCAAATGCAAAGATTATTATAATTTAGACGACCCACATGTTACATCATGGGTTTACTGTAATATCTTTAATTGGATTTCAGCCAGGTGAAATATTGAAAGGTTATGGGGGCAAAAAGGATACATATTATAATAATAATCCTTACATGTAGTATAGCAACTTTCACTTTGGAAGGATCTCAAAGTACTTAATAATAATAATCCTTGCATTTGATTTAGTGTCTTACCACATCTTCAAGACGTCTTTTCATTTTCTTGTATTGCAAATTAACAGACGTTTTGATCCAGTGAATGTATATTCTTACAGTAAAGCTCCATAGGGAAAGTAGTTAATAACTGAGGTATTGACAGTGGTTCCCCCCTCTCCCCTTCTCTGTAAGCCATTGACAGAATAGCAAATGTAATAAAACATCAATTATTTCCAGAATAAATGACTTGCTGTCAAGATATAATAGCAAATAACAAAGAAATATAATGAAAAATTTGCAAAAAAATTAATTATCTGATACAAATGAACTTTATCCAAACAGGTTTGTTCACTGGGCTACATTAACAGCTAGATCCATGACAATGTAATTGACTTAAGATGGTCAATGGCTTTCACAGCACCTGTCACAATGTGTAACTGCTGACAATGAGATCCATAATAGAGCTATCAGCTTATCAAGGATTGTAATTTATTGAAGTTGACTATTCAACCCATTGTTTGGTTGAGTCGACAATTATCTAGTTCATACAAAGAAAGGATTCAGGCAAATAGAATTGATTTCTGTTTTGATGGAGAACGCCTGCTAACTGGTTTCTGTAAGATTTTCAGTTGTTAAGCAAACTGCCACATGCGTCTGCTGTAAGACGATCACATAGAAATCCCTAACACATAGAACCCTGAAATATAATAATAATCTTTACATTGATATAGCTCCTTATTATGTTGTTGAGATGTCTCAAAGCACTTCACAGAATATGCTGTAAAGTGGAGTCCTCTGGAGTGTTAGAGCACTCGCCTAGCAAATGAGAGAACCCAGGTTTAATTCCCGAAACCTTAGACAAGTTTCCTTATTCCACATACCTGTGTTCACCTCGCAGTAAGTAGGACCCAGTCATTAGTCGATTGGTAATATTTTCCGGGGGTAATAATTGATATAGCACCTTATCACATCTTCAAAGCGCTTCACAGAATATTCTGTAAAGTGAATTGACTGTAGTATTTTGTGGACGAAATGCAGCAGCCGATTGCACACAGCAGCGTCCCACAAACAGTCGTGGATTGCGTGATCAAATTATTATTTCTTTTTTGAAGGGATTATTACCCGGGGAAAGCGATCCCCCAATCGACAGATATTTGGCAGCTGTTCACCAATGTTCTCCTAGAGCCCAGCACAATGGTTTTCGGACACGTTTTGATGTTAGAAGGGAAGAAAAATCCTTTCAGATCTTTGCTCAGCATTGATTTAGAACCGTTCTTCATGTGAAAAGATTGATCAACCTCGACAGCTTCAATACTTGGCACCTGATGCTCTGCCCGCAAAGAGCACTTTAATTGCTGCAGATATTTCAGGTTTAGCAGAGAGGAGGTAAATTCCAATGAGTAGAGTTAATCTCTGCCAGAACTGTGGAAAATTCTTCAATTCACTCTTAATTTGTTAGCTGATTTTTCAGGTGCCAGTAAAGTTACTGCTTTTCCAACATCAAGCAGAGTAAACTCCTGATAACTCATCACTGCGCCCTTTCTCTTGGAGTGACAAGTATCAGGAGTTGATATATTAGCTGTATCTACAACAACAACAACAAGATTACATTTGTATAGCGCCTTTCACGTCGGGAGCACGTCCCATGGTGTCCCAAGGTATCTATCACAAATTAGATACACAGAATCTATTTCCTCTGGTGAGGGAATTCAAAACAAAGGGCGTCATCTTAAAATTAGAGTTAGGCCATTTAGGACTTAAGGAGTCCTGTAGCTCAGTGGTTAGAACACTCGCCTCGCGAGTGAGAGAGCTGGGTTCGATTCCCGGCAGGATGAAACCTTGGGCAATTTTCCTTACTCCACACGCCTGATAATAATCCTTCAAAAACAAACAATAATAAAATTGGTCACTTGAATCCATGACTATTTGTGGGACACTGCTGTGTGCAATTGGCTGCTGAGTTTCCCTGACAAAATATACAGTCAATTCACTTTACAGTCTATTCTGTGAAGCATTTTGAGACGCCCAGAAGACATGAAAAGTGCTATATCAAATGTAAGGATTATTATTATTATTAGGAGTGAAATCAAAAGGCAGTAAAAATCTGGAACTCTCTCCCCCAAAAGGCTGTGGATTATCCATTCAAATTTTCAAGACTGAGATGAATAGATATTTGTCAGGTCAGGGTATCAAGGGATATGGGGCAAAGGCGGGTATTTGGAGTTGAGGTAAAGATCAGCCATGATTTAATAGAATGGCAGAACATGTTCGAGGGACTGAATGGCCTCCTCCTGTTCCTATGTTCTTATGTTTACTGCATTGCTTCCAGGCTGTAACTCCTTCCTGAAGTACTGCTGTTGTTGTTGTTAAAGTGCCAACAACTATGTCAATATTATAATGTGATTCTCTATTTGATTATATGCCTAAAATGTGCCCGTTTCTCTGTATTGTTTTAATTAGTGGCTTATAATGTGAGGATTTGAATAGTCTCTGTGGCCTGGTCTTCACAGCAACCACAGCTGTTCTGAATGAAATGAGTTATCCAACTAATGAGCTTTCTGCAGTCAGTCGTGAATGATATTAATGGCACCGAACAGCCAGTCCTTTAAATTCAACTGAGTAGTTTTAAAACAGCCAGTGTTGGCTGAGAGAAGGAAACACAGCTCGAAAAAGCTGTTAGTAGCCGTTTGCTGAGAAGGAACGTGTCAGTGAGGAAATGCAGAGACACTGAAGTAGATGTGACATTCAGGTGAGTTTCAGCTGTGAAGAAATGAGAAAGTGTCTGTGTTTTGATGTGGGCATGAGGGACTGAAAAGCAATTAGATAACTAGAATTTAGAGGTGATTTAACGGGGGGAATTGAAGTTCATTGTAAATTTTGAACCAAAATAATCGATTTTCTCTTGAAAATCGATTCATTGAGTTTGAGATTCTGGAAACAACCATGTCATTTTACACATAAAATCTGGTTGATTAATATCAGAATGAGAAGTTTTCTCTCTCTCATTCTTATTGGATTCTACAAAACCAATGTCTTCACAAAGCAATTAATCTCCTGTGTATCTACTCTTCATCCTTGACATAAATAATCATTAATAGTAAATAATAATGAATCAAAAAAAGAAAGTTTTCCCACAACCCTTAACTGACAGAGCCACAGGTTAGACCATCCCCAGACTCTTATTGACTTGGAAATGCCACCAAGTTCTTCTGTTAAAATCTTGAGGGCAGAATATTGTGTTTCAAAAGTTTGAAGAAGTTTTCCACAAAGCACGGCATGTATTGGTTCATTACTCTCGATATTACCACTCATGGGAGCAATTGTACTTACAGGAGAATACAGTATAACATTCCTAATAGGTGGCATCCACTAACACACTCAGCCAAGCACACACATGGGCTGTAACCTGTTCCTTAATGGATAGAAAACTTTGGGCCAAAGGGAGGTGACTTCAACAAAGAACAAAGTGAACAATGGTGTTAAAGAGACAGAATTTCGCTTCAAGGCTCACTAATAATAAATAACTAATAATGACTCAAAAGGTGGAATAATTGACAGAAAGTCACAGGCGACTAGTATAATGTGCGCTCCGAGACACCAGCCCAGGGCTGCTGACGTATATTAATGTATTATCGGTGACCAGACAGTTGTTAGCCACTTAGAGCTCATGTTACAATAGCTGATTGGCAGATCACTTTCCTGGGGTAATAATCCCTTTAAAAAATAATTTGGTCACTCAATCCACGACTGTTTTTGGAACAATGCTGTTTGCAATTGGCTGCCGCGTTTTGACCTCAAAATACACAGTCACTACACTTTACAGTATATTCTGTGATGCACTTTGAGACATCTCAAAGACGTAATAAAGTGCTATAACAAATGCAAGGATTATTATTATTATAAACCTTGCATTGGATGTAGTTCCAAAACAGCTCAAAGTGCTTTGCAGAGAATAAAAAGCAAGTTCCCATAAACAGCCATGGAGAAAGTAACAAATTCATGGAGGATTGTGGGTCAGGACATGTGGAGAAAACTCTCTTCTCTTTTCCAGTCGTGTCATAGAATCTTTAACATCCACCTGAACAGGTGGTTTAACGAGTGCTATTTCTGACACTGAAACACTGAGTGTCAGCCTGGAGTATGAGCTTGGGGCCTGATGTAGAGCTTGAACCTACAACCTTGTGACGCAATATGGGGATAATGCTACTAACTGACACTTGAATCTGACAGCAAACTGCTGTTTTTTCAACCCGAATAACTTCAGAATGATTTATTAAAGGCTTGCTGGAAAGCGGTGAGACAATACAAGGCAATTAAAATAAGAATCCTATATGATTTTAATAGGACTGAGATTTGATGTGTAGTTCTCCATAGAGAGATCATGACATTTATCTGTGAAATATAACATTGTGCCAAATCTCTTGCTATGTTCATTGCTTTTTTTATATACATGTTCCATTAATAAAGATGCCTTAACCTCATGGGGAACACTTGATATTGGAGTTCCCATTGTACAGGATTACAGTGCAGTGCCCAATAATAATAATAATCCTGGCATTTAATACAGTGCCTTATCACGCCTTTAAGACGTCTCAAAGCGCTTCACAGAATATACTGTAAAGTGAATTGACTGTATATTTTATGGGTGAAATGCGGCAGCCAATTGCACACAGCAGCGTCCCACAAACAGTGTGGAATGAGTCATCAAATTTTTTTTTGCGAGATTATTATACCCGACAAGTGATCCATCAATCGACTAACAACTGGGTTCCTACTTACTGCTGGTAAACAGAGGCGTGTGGAGTAACACAACTTGCCTATGGTTTTGCCCCGCTTGGGAATTGAACCCGGGTCCTCTCGCTTGCTGCACTATCCACTAGGTTACAGGACTCCATAAACTCAAGAAATATGCTGGGTTACAATGCAGTGATCAACATACTGGATCACAGTGCAAGAGAGAGGAACAGAGGAAGAAGCTGTAGGCCAAAGTTACCCAAATTAGTTTTGTTTCTCTTGTAAACTCACCAGAAAACATCAAGGAAAAAGACTGCAAATGACAGCCAGCTCTCTGGCGTTGGATGAAAAACAACAACAACAAAATTACATTTGTAAAGCACCTTTCACATTGGGAGGATCTCCCAAGGCGCTGGACAGACAGAGTTTCGGATCTGAGCTGAGGGTCAGGGTGGTGGAGGGTGGAGGGCAGGTGGGAAAGGAGGGTGATTGAAAGCACGGTCAAAGAGGAGGGTCTTGAGATGGCTCTTGAAGGAGGCAAGAGATGGGGCGAGACTGAGTGACTGCGGGATGGAGTTCCAGAGGGTGGGGGCAGAGTGGCAGAATGCCCACCCACCAATAGTGGGGCGAGCGAGGTGGGGGATGTGAAGCTGGCAGAGGTAGGGGGGGAGCAAGACCGTTGAGGGCTTTGAAGATAAGGACCAGGATCTTGAACTGTATCATCTGTGTGATAGGAAACCATTGGAGTCGGGCGAGGATGGGGGTAATAGGGTCCCGGAGCCTGGTGGGGGAGAGGACACCGGCTGCAGAGTTCTGGATGATCTGCAGCCTGTGAGGGAGGTGTTGGGGAGGCCGACAAGCAGTGAGTTTGCATAGTGGAGTCCTGTAGCTCAGTGGTTAGAGCACTCGCCTTGCAAGCGAGACACCTGGATTCAATTCCTGGCAGGGCGAAATCTCCTTACTCCTTACAAGTTTCCTTACTCCACATGCCTAATAATAATCCCTCCAAAAAAAACAAAACAAAAAATGAATTGGTCATTTTCAATCCACGACTGTTTGAGGGACAGATGCTGGTGTGCGCAATTCGCTGCCGCGTTTCGCCCACAAATATACAGTCAATTCACTTTAAGTCTATTCTGTGAAGCACTTTGAGACATCGAGAAGATGTGAAAAGCGCTATATCAAATGCAAGGATTATTATTTATTATTATTATAGTCAAGCCTGGATGTAATGAAGGCGTGAATGAGGGTCTCGGGGGCCTGTGGTGTGAGACAGTGTCGGAACCGGGCGTTGTTGTGGAGGTGGGAAGGCAGAGTGGGTCATGACGCATATGTGAAGTAGAAAGGATAGTTGAGGGTCAAACAAGAACCCAAGGATCCGGACTGGCTCAGTGAGTGGGAGTGTGCAACCATGGCTGGTGATGTTGTCAGCGCCTGAGGTGAGGAGGCGCTGATGGGAGCCAATCAGGAGCCTCGGTCTTGTTGACGTTCAACTGTAGAAAATTAGCTCTGATCCAGGATTTGATGTGTGACAGACATTCTGTCAACATAGCAGTGGTCTTGGAGTTAAGGGTGGGATGAAATTTTTTGTTCCCACAGGATGGCATTAATGCAAAGCACATTGGTGGGCGATCTATTTATTTGGGTTGTCAGTGAGGTACCTGATAGACAAATCCTAAATCTGATAGTTATAGATATATAAGCCAGCCAACTGAGAAAACATCAAAAGAAATTTCATCTTCTGGGTGAATTTCCTGAGAAATGTTACCAACAGAGTTCCTGAATAACTATCTATATTCACCCCCATCAGTAATTGAATCCTGGCTGAAACTGACCTTCTCACCCCATGAATTGTGTGCTCAGAATACTATTTTAGCCCATAATGTGAGCTGTACCTTTATGTGCTGATAGTCAGGGTGGGAGAGAAATGCTCCATTTCCCCAGCGCTGTCATCCTTCACCTTCACAACATGCTCCAGATAGAAAACCATCTCTAGTTAGATCAGAGAAAGTAGAACATTTCCCAACCTCTGCTCTCAACAGGCTCCTCGAGACAGGAGAAACTGAGAATTGAAAATCTTTATTTAATTCTCAACTACAGCCTTGAGAAAGAGAACAGACAAAAGCATTTCTCTCACTCTCTCTCAGCCACTTTCTGTCTCTCTCTCAGTCTCTCTCTCTCTCAGCCACTCTCTCTAGACACTCTCTTGATGTTATGGTAGTAAGGCTGCTTTCAACCGTAAAACACTTGGAACTCACAAACTTTATTTTAGTGTCTATTCGCAATGAAACTTTGGGATTTAATATTAGAACAAGAAAAATGAATTAGATAACATTCAGTTCTCAAACGATAGGAAATGATCAGGTCTAGCAAACCAAGAACCAACCAGACTTTGCTATATCTAAAGTCCCCTTAAACAATAGCATAACGTAATTCTGCCATATTAACTGACAAATCCTTTACACTAATGGCCCATTGCAGGAATTGTATCCAGAGTTAGCTGGAAACTCTGTTAGAAAATGATCCTATAATACTTGAGGAATTTTATTGTTTTTATTTTACTGCCACAGTTAGTGTCTCTTATTGTTCTGAGACTGGAAGCGATTTAACTGTTCTGCTCAGCATCTTCCGCTGCACTTAACACTTAAGTCCTGAGGGTCACTACCCCACGTGAAGGTCACTGTATAAATGCAAGTAGTTGTTTTTGTTGTTGTTGTGTACCGCTCTACCAATAACTCTCCTCTTTCCCTCTAATTTTCTAATTATTATTAATAATTAATAATTATTATTAATAATCTCCCATCACAAGGTGCCAACTCGCACCACACCAAGTGATCGTTCTTATAGGAATATAGGAGCAGGAGGAGGCCATTCAGCCCCTTTAGCCTGTCCCGCCATTCTATTAGATCATGATTTTTACCTCAACTCCAATTACCCGCCTTTGCTCCATATCCTCTGATCCGCTGACCTGACAAACATCTGTCCACCTCGGTCAGTGTGTCGGTCAGTGAGTCGATTGGTGTGTCAGGGGAGTGGGGGCCTTTTTTGACAGCCTCAGGGACCACTTCTGGCCCCCGGGCCACAGGTTGGCCACCACTGAATGAAAGGGACTGGCAAACACCTGACTGCATACACACACACACAGACAGGCACAGACATACTCACACACAAATGCACACACACGCACAGACAGACAGACACATACAGACAGACAGATAAACACACACACATAAATGCCCACAAATACCCGGGCGCCCACAGACAGACAGACAGACGGACGGACGGACGGACACACACACACACCACACAGACAGACACAGACATACAACAGACACAGACAGACATACACTTCACAAACACACACACACACACAGACAGACAGACAGACAGACAGACAGACACACACACACAGACAGACACACGCACAGCCACAGACAAACACACAGACATAGACACACAGACAGACACACGCACAGACACACAGACATAGACAGACACACACACACACATAGACATACACAGACACAAATACTCCAGAGTTAACGCAAGAGAAATACCTCTCATCCCCCCAGAGTGAAGAGGGGAAAAGGGAATCTCTTACCCTCTGGGAGAAGTAGAACGCAGCAATGCCTAGAGGCCAGAAGCAGCAGAGCATCGAGAAGATGGCGAGGCCCAGGTGGTCACGTGGTGGGGTCAAGATGAAGTTGTCCTCACTGTCACTGTCGCTGGAGCAGTCGCTCTGGGGAGAAAGGAGAAGAGGCTCATTAACTTTGCGATGTCTCAATGACATGACGAGGCTCTATATCAAATGCGAAGATTATTATTATTTGGATGTGTATATCTGTCTAGTTCCCTTTTAAAAATGAATGTGGATTCTGTCCAAACCGGCGCCCCTGATAGGCCATTCCATATCCTAACAACCCTCTGTGAAGAATATTCTTCTAATCCCCCATTTGCTAGTTATTTTAAACTGATGTCCTGGAGTCACTGACAACCGACTAGTGAAAACAATGTCTCTCTATTGACTCTGTCCCAAATCTTCAATTTTAAAAACCTCAACCAGGTCATCATCAACTTTCTTTATTCCTGTAGCTTGTGGAGTCCTATAGCTCAGTGGTTAGAGCACTCGCTTTGCAAGCGAGACACCTGGGTTCGATTCCCGGCAGGGAAACCTTGGGCAAGTTTCCTTACTCCACACAGAACCTAATAATAATCCCTCCAAAACAAAACAATAATAAATTGGTCATTTTCAATCCACAACTGTTTGTGGGACATTGCTGTGTGCAATTGGCTGCCGCGTTCGCCCACAAATATACAGTCAATTCACTTTACAGTCTATTCTGTGAAGCGCTTTGAGATTTCGAGAAGATGTGAAAAGCGCTGTATCAAATGCAAGGATTATTATTATTAAGTCCCAGTTCCTCTTGTCTCTGCTCATGAGTCAGACCACTCTTATTATCTCTGATATTTCATGTACATTCTCTCTCCAAGGTACGCTAAACCGAGAGTGCGTTTTACCTGAATCTGAGCCTTATTGTAATTGATTTGGAGTGTTCACAGGCTGAACTTTGATGAGCAAAAAACTAAAAATATAAATGTATAAACATTACAAGCGGAAGCACAAAATAGATTGATAAGGTTTCATTAAACTCCTCCGGCCTCGTTAATATTCACAAGATGAACTCCCCGCTTCCTGCCATGTTGCAAAATTCATCAAATGAAGCGCTGATAGCTATGTGTGTGTGGGTGTGTGTTTGGTGTGTGGGTGGGTGTGGTGTGTATGTGTGTGTATATGCATGTGTGTTTGTGATGTATGTGCATATGTGGTGTGCATGTGATGTGTATGTATGTGTGTGTATGTGTGGAGGAGTGTGTATGTGTCTGTGTGGGGGTGTGTGGGGATGTGGGGGGATGTATGTGGGGGTGTGGATGTATGTGTGTGGGGAGGGTGTATGTGTGAGGGGGGTGTATGTGTGGGGGAGGGGCGTATGTGTGGGGACGTGTGTGTGCGGGGGAGTGTATGTGTGCTGGAGGTTGTATGTGTGGGTGTGTGTATGTGTGGAGGTGTATGTATGTGTGTGTGGGGGGAGGTGTGTGTATGTGTGTGTGTGGGGGGGGTTTCGTATGTATGTGTGTGTCTGTGGGGTGGGGGTGTGTGTATGTGCGTGTGTCTGTATGTTGTATGTGTGTGTGGTGTGTGGGGGTGTATGTATGTGTGTTATGTGGGGTGTGTGTGGGGGTGTGTGTGGGTGTGTGTGTGTGTAGCGTCAGTTGATCTCAGACTATCTGTTGGCTCAAAAACGTAGCACTTTATCTTGAACAGATCCCAAGATTGACTGATAGTGAAGGGCCTGTGAGTCATTTTCCAACTGAGATTAATATTCCTTTTAATATATACGTCTCTATGATTCCCTACATTGTGTATATATAAAATATATATATATATAAGTTTCCTTACTCCACACACACCTGTTACCGGCAGTGACTAGTAACCCGCTGGTTAGGCGATTGTCTGATCGCTTTCCAGGGGTAAAAATACTCCAAAATATAAAATAATAATGTGGTCACTCAATCCACGACTGTTTGTGGGACACTGCTGTGCGCAATTGGCTGCCGCGTTTCACCCAGAAAACACACAGCAACTATACTTTACAGTATATTCTGTGAAGCACTTTGAGAAGTCGCGAAGACATGAAAAGACGCTGTATCTAATGCAAGGATTATGTATGTATATACATCTATACAGTATATACAGTATATTTATGGGACTGTGATTCCCCACAAAACCTTATAAAATAGCACCTGCTACTTCCTGAAATGTACTCTGTTCTTCTGTAATATTTGCAATATTTGAGATATCTCAACGACATGATAAGGCGCTGTATCAAATACCAGCTGCACCCTGTTGCAGCTTCTCTTGCAACCAGAGGATCCAATATGAAATGTGGATTGACAGACAGACAGACGGACAGACAGATGGACAGACAGACAGACGGATCAAGGGACACATAGACAGATACACAGACAGATACACTTACTTATCTTTGAAAGGTTTGATTTTCGCTTTAGCATCTTTATAATGATCAATATCATTTATAATCACTGAGACGTCCTCCCGACATGAAAGGCGCTTTTTGGCTGTGTTCTTTTGTTCCCACCGCTGCTTGACTACATACAAGCCCTGTGACGCACGATACTAGCCCCAGCCCCCCCACCTCCAGCAGCACACCCAGCCCCCACCCAGCACCCCCACCAACCCCACCCGATTGCATTTGATATAGCGTCTTATCACATCTTCGAGACTGTATATTTTATGCGCGAAAGGTGTCAGCCCACAGTGTCCTACAAACAGTTGTGGATTGTTGTGGATTGAAAGCTATGTTTCTCTAGAACTCGATTATATAAAAAAAAGGAAAATGGGCAGAACTAAGTCGAGGTATGTGCTTCTCCTCACAGATCGTGATGCTGCGAGCCCACATTGTACTTCATCCAGAGAGAAATGACAGTCAGTGGGATGGAATTTAAATATTCATGCTTCAAAATGATTCAGTTTAAGTATAAGTAGTGTAATAGTGCCGTGGAGACCTCTTAACACTCCTTTTTTTTATATCTTAATTTGGTAATCATTCACTGCCTTTTCATCTTTCTCCCTCTGAAATTCTATGTAATGTAACCTCTTCTCAGAATAAAACATGACCATCTATGGTTCATCCGAGTAAAGGCCACACACACACACATCCAGCCCTCGCCAGGGCTTTCTCTGTGCCTGTGTGTTGCTGACAGCTGTGAAGTGCACATGAGACAGTCCAGGGGAAGTGTGTGCGTTGTTTAGGGGGGATGTAAACAATTTACCCCAATCTTCGCTCATTCTCCTCTCCTAATCACATTTGTACTTATTCCTTCATGTCTCTGCACATTAGGCGAGTGGTTAAAATAATAATAATCATTGCATTTAATGTAGCGCCTTATCACATCATCAAGACACCTCAAATATATACTGTAGTGAAAGATATAAGTGGATTCACTTTATTTTGTTTGTGAACAGCGGTGTCCCACAATCAGCCATGGAGTGAGTGACCAATTATTTTTATGCAGATTGCCTTGGTTAGACTCCGCTTTCTACCCCCCTCCGCCTCTCTCTTTCTCACGCACATAAATGTTTAATGGATATCATGGGATGTGAGCAGATGCCTTTACCTCAGTGGAAAGAAAAATGAATCTGAACTTGAGCAGAGGCAGAGATGACAGAGTCCCTATAGCTCAGTGGTTAGAGCACTCGCCTCGCAAGCGAGAGGACCTGGGTTTGATTCCCGGGCAGGGCGAAATGTTAGGAAGTTTCCTTACTCCACACACCTCCATTTACCTAGCAGTAAGTAACAATAATAATCCTTGCATTTGATATAGCGCTTTTCACGTCTTCTCAACGTCTCAAAGCGCTTCACAGAATAGACTGTAAATTGAATTGAACGTATATTTGTGGGCGAAACGAGGCAGCCAATTGCAGTGTCCCATTGCTTTATAAATAGGGGTATAGAGTACAAGAGTCAGGAGGTTATCATTAACCTACATAAAACACTGGTAAGGCCTCAGTAAGAATATTGCGCTCAGTTCTGGGCACTACACTGTAGGAAGGATGTTAAGGCATTGGAAAGGGTGTAGAGAAGATTTATGAGGATGGTACCAGGAATGAGGGACCTTGATTATGAGGAAAGGCTGGAGAGGTTAGGATTATTCTCATTGGAGCAGAGAAGGTTACCAGGAGACCCAATAGAGGTCTTCAAAATCATGAGGGGATTTAATAGGTTGGAAAGGGAAAAACTGTTTCCATTGGTGGGTGTGTCGGTGACTCGAGGTCACAGATTCAAAATAGTCTCCAAAAGAAGCCGAGGGGAGGTGAGAATAAATGTTTTCACGCAGCGAATTGTTGGAATCTGGAACGCATTGCCCGAAAGGGCGGTTGAGGCCGATTCGATAACTACTTTTAAAAACACGGTGGACAGGTATTTGAGGAGGATGGGTTTGCAGGTTATGGGAAATGGGCTGGGGAGTGGGATTGACATTACATTGCTCTTCTCAAAGAGCTGGCACAAACTCGATGGGCTGAATGGCCTCTTTTTGTGCTGTACGTTTCTATGATTCTATGAGTCTATGAAACAGTCGTGGATTGAAAATGACCAATTTATTATTGTTTTGTTTTGGAGGGATTATTATTAGGCGTGTGAAGTAAGGAAACTTGCCCAAGGTTTCGCCCTGCTTGGAAATGAACCCAGGTGTCTCGTTTGCAAAGCAAGTGCTCTAACCACTGAGCTGCAGAACTCCAGTAGGAACCCAGTTGTCAGTCGATTGGTGGATCGCTTTTCTGGGGTAATAATTCCTTCAAAAAAATAACAATGAATTGGTCACTCGATCCACTATTGTTTGTGGGATGCTGCTGTGCGCAATTGGCTGCTGGGTTTCACCCATAAAATATACAGGCAATTCACTTTACAGTGTATCCTGTGAAGCGCTTTGAGACGTCTCGAAGACGTGATAAGGCGCTGTGTCAAATGCAAGTATTATTATTATTATTGCTAGGTAAAATTGGGAAGAACAAAACAAAAAAGTAAAAGCAGGTTTAGGTTCAGTCACCTAGCGGGCATGTTAATATTAATCAGCATTCACTGTCAACGCTTATTAAAAGAGCCCAAAGCGGCTACTGTGAAAGAGGGGAAACAGGAGAGGAGAGATTCCTGTAACACA